TCGGCTGCTGAGGTAGCCAGCCGGATTACCCCGGTTGGCTGGCGGTGTGGGCCCAATGACAGTGGCCATGCTCATGGAAAACACCCTACTGAGTGCCATAAGACACAACGAGAAGGCCAGGTCGCGCTCCATCAAGCCCTTGAAACTCAATCGACTCGACAATGTACCCAGGTATGTCTCAACCTAGCAACCTCCCCCTCAAATATCATCTGATAACCCCATTACCTTGTAGTGATATCGAAGTAGCCATGGCGCACACTCCGAAGAACGTAGCCACACTCGCCAATGAAATCGGCGTCTTGGACTCCGAGTTAGAACTCTATGGCAAATCAAAGGCGAAAATTAACCTCGACATCCTCGACAGGCTTGCCCACCGCAAGGATGGAAAATATGTCGTGGTTGCTGGGTATGTCGATGATCATTTTCATCCTAGTCACAACTGAACAGCCAGCTGATCTTTCCACCACATAGTATTACTCCCACTCCTCTAGGAGAAGGTAAATCTACCACTGCCATCGGCTTGGTTCAAGCCCTGAGCGCCCATCTTGGTAAAATCAGTTTTGCAACTGTTCGACAACCTTCCCAGGGACCAACCTTTGGAATCAAAGGTGGTGCGGCTGGTGGTGGATACAGTCAAGTCATTCCCATGGACGAGTTCAATTTACATCTGACTGGTGACATTCATGCTACCACGGCCGCTAACAACCTGCTAGGTAATTGAAATCAGATTAAATTTGCTCATTTCTTGCTCACTCAAGCTGATTCATGGGTCTTCTTTCAGCTGCCGCCATTGATGCCCGTTACTTCCACGAGTCAACACAAAGTGACACGGCCCTCTTCAACCGTCTATGCCCCGCAATCAAAGGCAAAAGACGCTTTGCACCAATCATGCTTCGCCGTTTGAAAAAACTGGGCATTGACACCAACAAGACCCCCGAAGAGCTCACTGAAGAGGAGCGCTCCCGATTTGTCAGACTGGACATTGATCCCCAGAAAATCACTTGGTTCGTCCCCCTAACCCAGCCCCAAACACTTCTTTTTTTTTCTTCTTATTGCGGCTGATGATTTTGATCATCAGGCATCGAGTAGTCGACACCAACGATCGTTTCCTACGGAACATTACGATTGGACAAGGACCTGCTGAACAAGGCCGAGAGTTAAAGACCGGCTATGACATTGCTGTAGCCTCGGAATGCATGGCTGTTCTTGCCCTTAGTAACGACCTTGCCGACATGAGGGAAAGGTGTGGTTTGCTCTCTGGTTATGGCATTATCAAATCCTGACTTGCCTTGTTTTGTTGGATGTGATCCTGTTGGTAGGCTGGGTCGCATGGTCGTTGCCGATAGCAAAAGTGGGGAGCCCATCACCGCGGATGATATCGGTTGCGCCGGTGCAATGGCCGTCTTGATGAAAGATGCCATCAAGCCTAACCCTCATGCAAACACTTGAAGTCAGTTATTTCTCTTTGCTATATTCAGGAACTGGATTCTCATCAGAGATTCTGCCTGCTCCTGTGACTTTCAGGGAACTCCGGTGTTTGTCATGCTGGACCCTTCGCCAACATCGCCCATGGAATACTCCTCATCTCGCCGACAAGATTGCTCTGAAACTTGCTGGAATTGAAGAAGGGGAGAGCGAAAGTGACTACGGCTACGTTGTCACCGAGGCCGGATTTGGAGCTGATATTGGGTGAGTTGTTGCAAGGAAAAGGTCTTCTATCAATCTTTGACCCGCTGACAATGTCGACGCACTCCTCAGAATGGAGAAATTCTGTAACATCAAATGCCGAATCTCCGGCTTGAAGCCCAATGCCGTCGTCTTGGTGGCCACAATTCGGGCCCTCAAGATGCACGGTGGAGGTCCAGAAGTGACTCCAGGCAAACCTTTGGCTGATGTATACTTGGAGGAAAATCTTGAAATCCTCGAGAAGGGTTGTTCCAACTTGGCCAAGCACATCGAAAACGCCCGATCGATGGGCATCAATGTCGTCGTCGCGGTCAATCGATTCACGTCAGTCTTGATTTCATTGTATCCTCATGGGTTTTGATTCGGTGATCCTGATTTATTCAATTTTATGTGTGTGCGTGTTACAGATCGGATACCCCAGCGGAACTTGCTCTGGTTGAGCGAGTGGCCAAGGCGGCGGGAGCTCATTCGGCAGTAGCTTGCAACCACTGGGCCATGGGAGGCGAAGGTGCAGTCGATCTTGCCCAGGCTTTGATTGCCGCATGCGAGGGACCATCGAACGAGAGTTTCAAGTTCCTCTACGATCTCAACCAGCCCTTGAAGGCTAAGATTGAGAAGATTGCCGTGGAGATGTATGGGGCTCAGGGCGTCAGTTACAGCGAAGAGGCCGAAAGTCAGATTGCGGCGTACGAGAAGCAAGGCTTCGGAGGGTTCCCCATTTGCATGGCCAAGACTCATCTGTCCTTGAGTCATGACCCCAAACTTAAAGGTCGACCACAAGGTCAGTGGATCTTGTACTCAAGAAATACGCTTCCATTTTTTAACCCCAAGATCTGTCTTTTATTCAGGCTTCACACTCCCTATTCGTACGATCAAGATGTCCGCTGGTGCTGGATTCTTATACCCGATCGTCGGAGATATGTGAGTCAACATCCACGCTTGTTTTGTACATCCTTGAGGATGTCTGACTAATGCTCGTCTGGCTGTTTTTTTTTTTCGAACAGGCAAACCATGCCTGGATTGAGCACCCGACCAGGTTTCTTCGAGCAGGACATCGACTTGGCTACCGGAAAGATTATCGGTCTCTCTTGATGTCCAGTCTCTGAGAAAGTGCCCTATATATATAGTAGATCCTTATGACATCGAGATATACCATTTGTCACGTCGCGATACGAATACCCACGTCAAGGAAACTTTCAACTGCTGATATGATAGATTTTTTTGTTTTCTTCTTCTTCCTCTTTTTTGGTTTTCATGATTCCATGACATATACGATTTTAACTGGCTATCTTGCATCTCTTCCTCTCTTTTCCTCTTGTTTCTCATCTTGTTCAATTCGACCTATCATCTTTGTTTCCCTTTCGAGTTTCCGTCGCTCTGGCCTTGAGCGAGAGAAGCAAAAAAAATTGTGGTGTCACTCACTCACTCATGGATTGATGAATGAATGAAGACTTTATATGTGGCCAGACTGGCTTGTGGGCTTTCTTTGCATTCCGAATGATCCACTGATCACACATGTAAGTAGCTCTCAAATGTGTATCTGATACACTCATGCATCTTCCTCGAGGCCCAATGGCGGAGAAGCTGATTGCAGCCCGTCTCAATCAGTGTTTCTATGGGAAAGAGTGAGAAAAAATGATGTTCACTGGAGATTAGTTATCAGCTGGCACATATAAGTGATTGAATCAATTTTTGAAACAAGTTTTATATACCACTTGTCCAAGTGTCATGTTTTCAAGTTTCTGTGGGTTGAGGTGTTGAGTGTGATCCAAACAAAAACTGGCTGTAAAGATCTGGTATATAGGAGGTGACTGGACTTGCCAACCAATGTGGAAACCAAATTCTTGTGGAACCATCTATGTAAGTGGTCTTGCTCGCCGCCCCCATTTCCAAATGAGTTCCTTCTTCAACAGTTCCCAATCCTGGTTCTTGGGTCCTTCCATTGTCTCAATGCACTCACTAATCCTCTAGTTTTCTTTAGGGCCTGTACCGTAGGTTTCAATTTTCAAAAATGGGCATTTTTTCCATCCTCTACACAAAAACTGGGAACAATTGGAGAGATCTGGTGTTGAAATTCTTCACTTTCATGCCAAAGACCAGCTTCTAGTTATGGTCAATTTTGATGATATAAAATTTTGAGCAAGATGAAGTTTGAGAAATTGAATTTTCATGTCCTATGGTACAGGCCCTTAATCATGAATGGGAACTGGGGAGCCACGTCTTGTCTGCCAGCTTTGTACAGTCTCTCCTCCCAGTTGTTTAATATGGCACATGTATTTCCTTTTTTTTTTTTAAAAAAAAAAAAAAAAAACTCTATCAATGATAAATTTCCATTTTTTTTTGTGGAGTGGTGGAATGGGGGATGTGATAAGAAGGAATATGAAGCAAAAAAAGCAAAATTCATTACATTTCAAAAAAATAAAAATAAAAGCTTCATTAATCAAATTTTCTATAATTTTCTTTCATAGTTTTTTTTCTTTATTTTAAAAAAAAAATACAATTAAAATCAAGTGGGGAGGGTAGCTACGGAAGCCCAGGAGGGACACCCATTGAGTCCCCGTTTGAGTTTTGATTTTTGATTTTTGAGGCATAATACAGATGTACAGTGGGTAGACAGTGAAACGTGGCTGCTGATTTTGGATTCCAGAGCTCCAAAACACAGACTTGAAGTCATGAGACTTGGTCAGGTGGTGCATCATAGCTCCCAAAAAATGAATATGAAATAATAAAAGCAAAAAATAGAGTTTGAAAATTTGTGAAAAATAAAAAAATAAACTTGATTTTTTTTCAAAAGCTTTGATATTCATTTTGGGGGAGTGGGAGTGCTGAGAGAAAGAAAGATTGGGAAATGAGAAGAATGATTATAAATGAAAATTTTGGAAAAACTGGCTTTCAGATGGCTTCTCAAACAGCTGTTGAGTGGGGCATTCACCAGCCCACATTGCAGCAAAGCACTAGAATTGACTGTTTTGGCTCCAATCTGGACCACCAACCTGGCTAAACCTTTTTTGGTATCTTAACAAAGGATGAGGGATCAGTGTTATCATTTATACTTGTTAATGTCCAAAGAATCCAATAAAATAAGGGCCTTAATAAAAAAACCCGCATTTTCCGCGTTTTGACGCGGTTTCTGCTGCGCGCAGCACACGCGCATTCCGCTTTTAAACCCGCTTTTTTAATTAATTTTTTACCACTTATTTTTTGAGTTTTTTTGAATTTTTAAAAGGGCCTTAATAAAAAAACCCGCATTTTCCGCGTTTTGACGCGCTTTTGCTGCGGCACAGCACACGCGCATTCTGCTTTTAAACCCGCATTTTTAATTAATTTTTTTTTGCCATTAATTTCGAGTTTTTTTGATTTTTTAAAATTTTTTCCTACACTTTGAAGGGTGTAGAATTTAATGGTAAAGTCTATTTACCATAAAAATGACTTTGATTTTTTTTTTTTTCTGCTTACTCATTTTTTCAATTAATTGTTTGCATGCATGTATGTACCTTATTTTTTATGCTTTTTTGAAATTTTAAAGTTATTTCCTAGGTTTCAATGTGTGTAGAATTTAATGGTGCAATCCAATTTTTTTAAAACTCAACGGTTCATTTTTAATACTGAAATTAGACCCATTTTTTCACTTAATTTTTTACAGCTTGATTCTCATCATTTTTTGACATTATAAATTTATTTCCCACACTTTAAGACATGTAGAAAATGATGGTAACAACCATTTTTCCCCAAAATGAAAACTATACCTTGAATGCCGCATTTGACACGTTTTTTTAATTAATTCATCACTTTTTCACTTAATTGTTTGCATACATGTGTGTACCTTATTTTCTATGCTTTTTTGAAATTTTAAAGTTGTTCCCTACATTTAAAAGTGTGTAAAATTTAATGGTAAAATTCAATTCCCATAAAACTCAATGGTTCATTCTGGATACTGTAATTAGTCATATTTTTCAATTGATTTTTAAGAGCTTAATTTTCATTATTTTTTGACATTTTGAATTTGTTTCCTACACTTTCAAACATGTATAAAATTATGGTAACAATGAATTTTCATCAAAATGAAAACTATATCTTGAATAATGCCTTTGACGTGTTTCCTGAATTAATTCTTACACGCTCAATTATCCTTATTTTTTGGAATTTCAAGCTCATTTCCTACACTTTTCAAGGTTTCAAAATTGATGGCTGTATCCATTTTGCATTCAAATAAAATTTGTATATGGTACAAATTATGCAAGAAACAGGGTACGCTCATCTATTAAGATTGAAGCTTGTATTTTGAGTGAAATTGGACTTCACCATTCAATTCTAAACATTTGTAAATGTAGGAAATAAATTTAAAATAAAAAAAATGCTTAAAATCAGGCCGGTAAAAATCAATCAAAAAAACATTAAAAAAAGCCTGTCCACTGCAGTATTCAGTAACAAGCGCTGATTTTTATGTAAAATGATTGTTACCATAATTTTATACATGTTTGAAAGTGTAGGAAAAAAATTTAAAATGTCAAAAAATAATGAAAATTAAGCTCTTAAAAATCAATTGAAAAATATGACTAATTACAGTATCCAGAATGAACCGTTGAGTTTTATGGGAATTGAGTTTTACCATTAAATTTTACACACTTTGAAATGTAGGAAACAACTTTAAAATTTCAAAAAAGCATAGAAAATAAGGTACACACATGTATGCAAACAATTAAGTGAAAAAGTGATGAATTAATTAAAAAAAAACGTGTCAGATGCGACATTCAAGGTATAGTTTTCATTTTGGGGAAAAATGGTTGTTACCATCATTTTCTACATGTCTTAAAGTGTGGGAAATAAATTTATAATGTCAAAAAATGATGAGAATTAAGCTGTAAAAAATTAAGTGAAAAAATGGGTCTAATTTCAGTATTAAAAATGAACCGTTGAGTTTTAAAAAAATTGGATTGCACCATTAAATTCTACACACATTGAAACCTAGGAAATAATTTTAAAATTTCAAAAAAGCATAAAAAATAAGGTACATACATGCATGCAAACAATTAATTGAAAAAATGAGTAAGCAGAAAAAAAAAAAATCAAAGTCATTTGTATGGTAAATAGACTTTACCATTAAATTCTACACCCTTCAAAGTGTAGGAAAAAATTTTAAAAAATCAAAAAAACTCGAAATTAATGGCAAAAAAAAATTAATTAAAAATGCGGGTTTAAAAGCAGAATGCGCGTGTGCTGTGCCGCAGCAAAAGCGCGTCAAAACGCGGAAAATGCGGGTTTTTTTATTAAGGCCCTTTTTAAAATTGTTTCCTAGGTTTCAAAGCGCATAGAATTTAATGGTAAAAACCATTTTCAATAAAAATGAATTTTGATTATTAATTATTTTTTTTCACTCATTTCTCAATTAATTGTTTGCAAACATGTTTGTACCTTATTTTTTAGCCTTTTTTGAAATTTTAAAATTATTTCCTAGGTTTCAATGTGCGTAGAATTTAATGGTGCAATCCAATTTTTTTAAAACTCTACGGTTAATTTTTAATACTGAAATTAGCCCCATTTTTTGACTTAATTTTTTACAGCTTAATTTTCATTATTTTTTGATGTTTCAAATTTTCTTTCTACACTTTAAGACATTTAAAAAATTATGGTAACAACCATTTTTCCCCAAATTGAAAACTATACCTTGAATGCTGCATTTGACACCGTTTTTTTAATTAATTCATCACTTTTTCACTTAATTGTTTGCATACATGTGTGTACCTTATTTTTTATGCTTTTTTGAAGTTTTAAAGTTGCTTCCTACATTTGAAAGTGTGTAAAATTTAATGGTAACATTCAATTCCCATAAAACTCAACGGTTCATTCTGGATACTGTAATTAGTCATATTTTTCAATTGATTTTTAAGAGCTTAATTTTCATTATTTTTTGACATTTTAAATTTGTTTCCCACACTTTTAGACATGATTAAAATGATGGTAACTATCATTTTTCATAAAAACCAAAGAATGTTATTGAATACTGCGTTGGACATGTTTTTTTTAATGTTTTGTTAATTGCTTGTTACCGGCTGGTTTTTAATCATTTTTTGAAATTTTAAATTCATTTCCTCCATTTAAAAATGTGTAAAATTGAATGGTGAAGTCCAATTTCCCTACATATACAAGCTTCAATCTTAATACATGAGTGTACCCCGTATCTTGCACAATTTGTAACGTATACAAATTTTATTTGAATGAAAAATGGATACAGCCAAAAATTTTGAAACCTTTAAAAGTGTAGGAAATGAGCTTGAAATTCCAAAAAATAAGGATAATTGAGCGTGTAAGAATTAATTCAGGAAACACATCAAAGGCATTATTCAAGATATAGTTTTCATTTTGGTGAAAATTCATTGTTACCATAATTTTATACATGTTTGAAAGTGTAGTAAACAAATTTAAAATGTCAAAAAATAATGAAAATTAAGCTCTTAAAAATCAATTGAAAAATATGACTAATTACAATAGTCAGTATGAACCGTTGAGTTTTGTGCAAATTGAATCTTACCATTAAATTTTAAACATTTTTAAATGTAGGAAAAAGCTTTCAAAATTCAAGAAAGCATAAAAAATAAGGTAAAAAAATCAATGTAAACAATTAAGTGAAAAAGTGAAGAATCAATTAAAAAAACGTGTCAAATGCAGTATTCAAGATGTATTTTTCGTCTTGGGGAAAAATTTTTGATACCATCATTTTCTACATGTCTTAAAGTGTTGGAAATAAATTTAAAATGTCAAAAAATGATGAGAATTAAGCTGTAAAAAATTAAGTCAAAAAATGGGGCTAATTTCAGTATTAAAAATTAACCGTAGAGTTTTAAAAAAATTGGATTGCACCATTAAATTCTACGCACATTGAAACCTAGGAAATAATTTTAAAATTTCAAAAAAGGCTAAAAAATAAGGTACAAACATGTTTGCAAACAATTAATTGAGAAATGAGTGAAAAAAAATAATTAATAATCAAAATTCATTTTTATTGAAAATGGTTTTTACCATTTTATTCTATGCGCTTTGAAACCTAGGAAACAATTTTAAAAATTCAAAAAAACTCAAAAAATAAGCGGTAAAAAATTAATTAAAAAAGCGGGTTTAAAAGCGGAATGCGCGTGTGCTGCGCGCAGCAGAAACCGCGTCAAAACGCGGAAAATGCGGGTATTTTTATTAAGGCCCTAAAATAAAACTCACTTTGTCTTGAATTCCAAATTTCTCAGCAACTAGGCAGACTGTTTTGGCCAAGTACTCACCTGTGTGCCTTTTTTACAGGCAAACAAAGTCTAGAGGCATGGACTCAAAAGTGAATTTACCTGATTCATTATCTACTAACCAATATCCAACTACACCCAATATGTCAAATCCATTTGGGGACTTCCATGTGTCTACTCCTATATATAATGCACCATTATGTGCCCAAGAAAAAAAAATAAGAAAAGAAAGGAGAAATTCGCAAATGATAAAAAAAAGTGCAGATAAAGAAAGTAGTAAATTAATCACATTCAAAGTTGCTCGGAATTCATCTTGTATAATAAAGAAGGTGGATGTCCTTTGAGACCCTGCTTGGCAATGATAGGTGCTTGAAGACAGTCGGGTGAAGGATGGATTTGTGGCTGGCATCCACAAGTGAGGAAAAAGGCCTGGCGGCTTCTGCACACCAGACTGCGCATAGTTGGGGAACCTGGATTATGTATGTAATGCTCAGTATGCTTACAACCAACGGTGCAACGAGTCCAATACATGTATTTCTAGTGGGTGTGTATTGCACCAAAACGTATAGGCAATACATGTATTTGTATTGCAGCTGAAGGCAGCTGCAATACGGATGTATTTTTTATTTATGTATTGCACTCTGAGTACAATACAAATACATGTATTGCAGAGTCAGCTACAATACATCCCATGTATTTTGTATCTGCAGATCCCAGCTTCAACTTCATTACAGATTTAAAACCCCTTTTTTTCACTTTTTTTCACTTTTTTATTCACTTTTTATTCACTTTTTATTCACTTTTTATTCACTTTTTTTCACTTTTTTTTCACTTTTTTTCACTTTTTTTTCACTTTTTTTTTCACTTTTTTCCACTTTTTTTTCACTTTTTTTCACTTTTTTTTCACTTTTATTCACTTTTTATTCACTTTTTTTTTCACTTTTTTCAACTTTTATTTTTTCATTTTGTAATTTTTTCCATTTTTTTTATTTTGGACCTTAATTATAAAAAAACACTGAAAAAAAGGAGAAAAAAAGGAGAAAAAAAGAGAAAAAAAGAGAAAAAAAAAGAGAAAAAAAGAGAAAAAAAGAGAAAAAAAGAGAAAAAAAAAATAGAGAAAAAAAAAATAGAGAAAAAAAGAGAAAAAAATAGAGAAAAAAAGAGAAAAAAAATAGAGAAAAGAAATAGAGAAAAAAAAGAGAGAAAAAAAATGGAGAAAAAAAATAGAGAAAAAAAAGAGAAAAAGGGAAAAAAAGTGAAAAAAAAGTGAAAAAAAAGTGAAAAAAAAAGTGAAAAAAAAGTGAAAAAAAGTGAAAAAAAGTGGAAAAAAAAGTGAAAAAAAAGTGAAAAAAGAGAAACAAAAGAGAAAAAAAAGAGAAAAAAAGAGAAGAAAAAAAGGGGTTTTAAAGGGAATACAACCAAAACTGTATTTGTAAATACAACGTATTTGTATTGTATAGGCTAGAAAATGAATACAATGTATTTGTATTGTATTCGCTAGCAGCGGCAATACATGTATTTCAAAATACATGTACTCCTGACAAAGTGCAATACGCTGTATATGCCTATACAATACACGTATAGGACTCGTTGCACCGTTGTTACAACAGACACAAACCTAAAAGTAAAAATGAAAAGAACTTACCTCTTTGGGATTAATATCACCGGTTCTGGTTATTCCTAGATTAGCCAACGATTGCATCTTTTGGGATTCATTGTGTTTGCAGTAGCAGAGCAAGGCATGTTTGTTGAGATTGCTGCAAGATGAATCTGAGGTCAGACGGTTGATCCAGGTGCCACATCTAAGCACACATGAAGCACAAGGAAATCAGCCAAAAAAATCTGATTTATGCATGCTTTAAAAGAAAAAATAACAATAAATTAGCGGGGTTCACGATAGCGTTTTTCGCTTCTTGCGCCTGTTATTTTTTTTTTCTTGCTTGCGCATTGTTGACGTCAATTTTCTCAGCAAAAATTTTAAGTTCCGCTCTAATTTTTAAGCCTGCAGCAGTGCTGTGTTTTCTTGTGCAAGAAGAAATTGCTTCTTGCAAGAAGCTATCATGAACCCCGCTATTAATGAGATATTAAAAACAAAATAGCTTACAGTTTGCAGGGATAAGATATCATATGCCGGCCATGCTTGTCCCTCTGATCTAAAAGCTCTGGCTCCCTGAATGAACTATAAGTTGAGCTGACAGAAGATTGAGCTACCCTCTGGGCTCTCACTTTAGGAAAAAGCAAAAAAAAAAAAACATACATTACATCAGCCTGAATGAAAAAATAGAAAAAAAAATACAGAACGGCAGGAAGAAATGACCAGAGAGCTAGAGAGTGATATCTTACATAGCTCCTCCTGGTCATCTGGGGCTTGTTCACTTTCAGATGGGGGCTGGGTGCTTGGTGTCCCCTGGCTTCCTCCCTCTTCTTGGGGATTGTATGACTGCAACGACAAGCAAGAAGTGACAGACTTTGCTCGGACACAGCGGCGGGGCATGTCAGACATCCTTTGAAGTGTCTTGCTAGTGCTTGTATATTGTTCACTTTTCTTTGGCGGGTTTTGATTGCAAGACATCAATCTGTGTATAACTGTGAAGAGCAAAAAAGCAGGCAAATCAGCTTGCTGCTCAAATGATAAGAAAGTACAGGGGGGGGAAGTGAACGAAGATGGTGGCAGGGAAGAAAAAAAGGGGGGCTTACCGTTCGTAGGCCCTGTGTAGGTCAATTGATTGGTGATGAGGGATGTGTAAGTCTCTCAATGGTGAGCGTCCGTTGGTCCGGTTATCGATCAGTTATGCAGTACCTACCCACCAAATGAGGTGGACATGGGCAGGGGCTTGGTCCTGGGCAGAAGTAAAGCCCCTGCAACCCCTGTGAAGACCCCCCCCCCCAGACATCAGGCGGTACCTGGTACCGTCGCTTTTTTGGCCAAAAAACCGGCACCCAGCACCGCCTGGCGGGTGCAAGGGGTACCTCCCAGGAGGTACCAGGTACCTGAAAAAAGTACCAACAAACAATCCCTATATTGAATATTGGTTATGTTGATGAATATGGTTCAGGGTACTTTTTGGTATACGATGATGATGGAAGTGTTAAATGTGTATTTCAATGTGTATAAATCCGTAATTGATATGTGGCTATGACTTATAGTTGTGAAATAACATATAAGATGGATTTATTTATAAGGGTGGTTGAGAATCTGAGATGATATGGTCCACTGGTGGGATGATGGAGGGAAAAGCTGGCAGGCAGAGGTCTCCTTATATAGAAAAATGTGAGGGATTTTAGCCACAGGGTACAGGCTGTGAAATACTACTACAAAGGGATGCATATGAATGAATAAAGGGACACATACATATGATCAAAGGGATACATACAATATCACTAGTACAAAGGGATTCAATATAACTTAAAGGTATTTGATTTACTACAAAGGTGTTCAGTATTAAAGGTATTTGATTTACTACAAAGGTATTCAGTATTCAATGTGTATCCTGTATTCATAATGGCTATGGTTAGAGTGAAGAATCCAAGAAATATCCTGTGACAGGTTGAAATATGTGTAACTTCTAAACTATAAGAGCTAAGGGTATAGTTTTAGTTAGTGAATAAGGGTTATTTTACCTGAGAATTCCATTTTTGATGTTATTTTTACCCTATCTTGAATGTATAGAGAGATAATAAGAAATTTTTATATTTTCTGCATAGAAACACAGTATTATTTACCACACCGTTGATGGCCAGGACACGGATGGTGTTTTGGGATGATTGGATGGTCCGTCTGGCCTAGTGGGTGTGGATGGGCCCTCTGGCCAAGTGGGTGTGGATGGGATGTCTAGCCAAGTGGGTGTTGAAGGAGAGCCAGCAACCTCCTTGACTGTTTTTTGGGCCTTGAGCATGTTCATTGTTGACTTGGCAATCAGCTCATTGCTGTGCCGGTTGTGAGGTTGGGTTGTCCTAGCATATGTTGGTTCCTGGTCACAATGAATGCAAAAACAAGAAAGAAAAAAAAATAACAATAGGAATACAAACCTGAGTGTATCAATCTTGAGCTATATTGATTTTTTTCTGAGTATCAACTTGATTTGAAGGTTGATTGTTGATGAATTGGTGAGCCGATGAGGTGAGGGAAAGAGGTTGACCTGCACCCGCACACTGCAGTTTAGTGCACAGGTGCAAGTCAACTTGTGACAGTTCACCCCCAGACATAAACATCTGGGAGGATACTGTACATGGAAGCTATCTTCTCCACACGCTTGATGAACAATTCTACTTTTGATCCATCAAAATCTAGATTTAACTTCTGTGTGTCCAGAACTACACCTTTTTCCTCATCTGGTGACCTGATATCCAATGTTTTCCTTGTCTGACTAATTTCTGAAGAGGTTACAGCCAGTCCTAACAAACTTTCTTCTGCTGTGCCAATTGTATTTTCCATCCTGTCATTCCGGTGTATGGTGTTGACATTGTGAACCGGAAAGACTGACCTTGTGGTGGTGGGGCTTCAGGTACTGGCCCCTGGCAGGTATCTCTCAGCAGATGTTGGGTATCTGCAACGGATACCCCACAACTATCTCTAAAATGGGCTTCAAAATCACATGGATTTCAATCTTGAAAAGTGGGTCATACTGGAGGATGACATGAATAGTTGGTTTGTTTGGCTGGGATTTTACATACTCTTGTCTCCATCTTTAGCCCCCTCCCCTGATTTCAATTCTACTCTGTTCAACAGCTACTCTTTCAAGGGATGTCTTTTTCACTGTTGGGCTGCATTATTCAAAAGATACAGGGGAAAGGTTTGTTTCATGAATGAAGTGGCTGGCTATCTTTCAGAATCATTCTGGTTCAAATTTTTCTCATCTATTATCATTCTTCCACCATGAGTTATGTCATATAACAACCTTTCCATGGCACTGCTCTTTTTGGAGCAATGCATGTGATTGTGTCATTTTTTTTTCTTACAAAATTCAGGAAAGATTGTTTTTCACACCTCCATTAATGTCATAATTGTCATTTGAAATCCATTTTGCACCACTAAACCAAGCCACTTCCTTGTTGATCTTGGGTTGACCTACAGTTGCGTACGGCATAGACCGACCATGCCCCGCCCGCAAAATCCAAATTGGACACGCGGGGCCTATGCCCCGGGGGGCATGTGCCCTGATACTTAATTTTATTACATTTTTGAACTTCTACAGATGTGTAGAGTTCAAAATTGTAATCACTAAGGTTTTGAGTGAGTGGTTCATTTTTTTTTTCATTTCCACATACATATAATCGGACATGCACAGATTAAGCCATACTTAAACCCATAGTTATGGCTTTAAGTGATACATAAATATGGTTTTATACTACTTGTACACCCTCACCATCTACTTTCACTGTTAATCTACTATTCTAGTGTATTTTTTCTACACTCTGGAGGCTACAAACAGCTCAAAAGGCTGAAAATTTCAAAAAAAATCTGAAATTTTTGGCCCGACTATTCGGACATCCTGAAAATCCAGGGTCGGTTTTTGCCGTCCGCAACTGTACATAGGTTGAACTTTAGGTGCCAGGAAGCTCAAATCACCCACTGTATGTATACACAAAATCAAAATTGAAACACCAAAAATAAAAAAAAATAAAATGATGAGTGAGGGGGAGTGTATGTACATACACCTTGGATGATTATGTAAATGTCTGTGACTGTCCATGTGATCCTTGATTGAAGGAAAGTTTCAACCAGCTGAAAGATACAGTCCATTTTTTTCATGTGGGTTGTGTTGAGTTAGGTCAAGTAATTACAGGTGTTGAGGCCCATAGTTAAGTTAGAGTATGTAACACGCATGCCACCAATCAGAGGTCTTTCTTTTCATGGGTCTGATCATATTCTTCCCAGGCGCAGTTTCCTTGGAAGAAGTTTGCTTGGATTGACTAGTTGGAAGTTGAGAACGTCGGGAAGTCAGCTCGTCAACCTTCTTGCGGCCACTGTGGTTGTACATAGATCGCTTGCCAATCGGAGATACTCACCCGCCCAGCCAGCTTGAGCCGTGGACTTGACGTCTCTCCCTCGCTTCGAGTTCGGCCCACAAGATCCATCCCTCCCGGTGTGTTTCAGCCCGACCGAACTGATTTCTTCTTCCGATTAGCTCAACAACCCCAACAGACAAACAAAACGGAACACTTCCCCAAGCGACCGATCAAGAGCTGATAACTACAGTATAGTAACAAGTTCGTAGGGCTCATCGCAGGCATACATTCGGATGGATTGATTGATAGAAGAAATTGCCTCCATCCAGCACAGCCACAAGCAAGCACCCGAGCAACAAATAAAGCTAAATAAACAAGCCAGTCAAATTATAAGACAAACAACACCTGCATACACCCATAGTACTTCAACATCCACTGCATACATACACCCAACTCAAGAACCTCCCCCCCAAAAAAAACTACAATTCACGGAACTCAGCAAAAAGCAGTGAAAAAACCCAATCAAGCCTCCGATCGATCGCTCCCCTTCTCTTTCTTTACCTTATCCCTCCTCCCTCTGCCCTTCCCCAGCTTGTCGCTCCCGATTACATCATCCTCTTCGTATTCCATCAAGACTGCCTCACAACCTGTTCATACGCATTTATCCCATCATCTCCAGGGCTCATCACACAAGAAGCTACATATAATCAACTTGAACTTGTAATTTTTTCCTCAGCTTTCTTTCCTCTTCTTCTTCTTCTGATTTGCGCTCCCCCTATATCCATCCTTCTATCTCTCACTCCTCCCTGAATCACTCGTCATGGCCTCCTCAACCAACCTTAATCCGATCGGCTCCCCTGGCGCAGCTAGTGACGCTAGCTATGAGTCCATCCAAACCGACGAGGAAGAAAAACCAAGTGATTATGATAAGGGTGGTTACCATCCCGTCACGATTGGCGAAACGTTTTGTGATGGCCGTTATCTGATCGTACGCAAGCTCGGCTGGGGTCACTTTAGTACGGTCTGGTTGGCTCATGATACTCAGTTCAGTAATTTTCTCTCTCTCCCTCTCTCTCTCTCTCTTGACCTCATCAAACCACACCCATCTGCTATGCAATATCAACCAATCTTCAATCTCTTTTCTATCGTACTCATCTTCAAACTTTGTATTTTAATCCATCAGTCTCAATCGTCACGTCGCCCTCAAAGTCGTCAAATCAGCCCACCATTACACCGAGACTGCTGAAGACGAAATCCGACTTCTCCAACGTGTCGTGACTGCGAGTCCTAACCATCCCGGTCGCCGCCATGTGGTCTCTCTATTGGATTCCTTTCGACATCGTGGTCCGAATGGGTCACACGTTTGCATGGTTTTTGAGGTCTTGGGCGAAAACCTACTCGGTCTCATCAAACGATACCAGTACAGGGGTGTCCCAGAACACATCGTCAGGCAGATATCTAAGCAAGTCTTACTCGGTCTGGATTATCTTCATCGAGAATGTGGCATCATACATACCGATCTCAAGCCCGAAAACGTTTTGATCTGCATAGAAGATGTCGAGAGCGTCGTTCGAGCCGAGCTAGAAACCTGTCCAGCAGCCGTACCCACCAAACTAGTTGGTGTACCGCCAAGCCAGGGTCGTGGCGGCGCCCAAACTCCTCGCAATGGGATCTTCATCACCGGCTCGCAGCCGTTACCAAGCCCATCGGGCAGTTTCGGAACCAGTCCGGTGATCGAAAAACTGGCGTTTCAAATGAGCAAGATATCCGATGGCGCATCAAACGAGCAATCATCTAGTGAAAGTAGTAACAAGCCCGGTTCAAGCGAGAAGAAGAACTCATCAACCTTTCCCAAAGTCAACCCTGATCCATCATCCCAACGCCCCGGTCCATCATTGCTCTCTCAAACGGCACCCAACTCAAACAAGTCGAATGGAATTCTTACAAACGAGGGTAGTTCGAATACTCCCAACTCTCAAGCATATCCCCCACACGACTATGCTACTCTCTCACAAACGCCCGCCAATCAATCACCCACCTCATCCCCTGCGCCTACAGGTCGAGTCGGAGGGGCAGACTGCGCACGGCCCGCTGGCGAAAGCACCGATCGGACCCCCTTACCACCCGAAGCCCCATACGACCCCCGTAGTCTCGAACGGATTACCGTTAAGATCGCTGACCTCGGAAACGCCAGTTGGACCAACAATCATTTCACAGACGATATCCAAACCAGGCAGTATCGCAGTCCAGAAGCAATCCTTGGTAGCAAATGGGGCACGCCAGTTGACATCTGGAGTGCTAGTTGTATGGTCAGTGGATCCTGTTGAATAACCATCGGGCGCACGGGCTTCTTTTTATGAATATACTGAAACCTGTTATCGAACTGCTTTTTTTTTTTAGATATTCGAGTTATTGACCGGTGATTACCTATTTAACCCTGATGCAGTAGCCAAAAGGTATACAAAAGACGATGATCATATCGCCCAGATCATTGAACTCGTGGGCCCATTCCCTACACCTGTAGCACTCTCTGGAAAGTTCAGCTATGAGATTTTTAACCGGAAAGGTAAGTTTAACTTATCATTACCTAGTCGTTTTTTAGAGTTGTCTAATAACATAAAGCTTTTGTGGTTTTGACAGGCGAACTACGACATATTCACAAACTGAAACACTGGCCGCTGGAAGCAGTCCTGAAGGAGAAATATTGTCTAGACAAGCAAGCGGCGATTGACTTGACGAGTTTCCTGGAGCCAATGTTGAACGTGGTTCCGGAGAAGCGCGCGACGGCGGAGCGGATGCTGAAGCATTGCTGGCTGGAAGGGGTGGTAGTGATGGGCGAGCTGGAAGCGGCGGCGGTGAGCGAGCAAAAGAAGAGTCTCGAGGGTGCATCAAAGGTGGACAACGAGGGTGAGACAGAGCGGCCGTCTGAGTCCGCACCGTCCTCCTCGCCGCTTGCGCCCGATTCTTCCCGCGCCTCCTCGGTCTCCACCCGTCGGACGTCGATCGCCGGCAGTAGTAGCAAGCTCAAAATCACTGGTAGCACTGGCGCAGGACCCGCCAAGGGCACCCCCCTCGGAAAGGCCCCCGCAGCCGTCGCCGTCAGTACCGCCGACTCAGCAACAAGAAATGTTGACGGATCCCAGGCTCAGAGGAGTGTCTCCGGAAGCCAGAGTCGATTGAAGGCCGGCTCGCCGACAACCGTCCTTGTTGGATGACCCTTCTTTCTCTCTCTCTCTTATCTTCAACTACAATATATCTATATACAATTACATGCATTTTCTCTGTTCTCTTATCATTCATCAGGCTTGAACAGAAAGAAAAGGGATGTCAAAAACATTTGATTGTCTATATATGGTTATATAGGCTAAAGAGAAAAAAAAAATATGTTTGATGCCCCCAAGTTTTTTTTTTCTCTCTTTTCAATCTATCGTGTTACATTTTTTTTTTCTGTCTCTTCCCACATTTTCAAAAAAATTAAAAAAAAAAGAAACACAAGTAAAATGAAAATGAATAATATTAAAGAAGAAGAAACAAAAACTACAGAACATAGCAATCAAAGGGCCAATTCACAATTACAACCTTGAATTGTTTTTTTTCTCTCTTTTTTTTTTCTTGTAAAACAACAGAATAATCAACTCTAAAAAATCAAATCAACAGTTTGTCTATCTCTTGCTCCTTCCCACTCAAAGAACAAACCCAACACTTCGGATTGAAGATAAAAAAAAATGAAGAAATTAGCGGAATGTTTATGTTTGTCTTGGTCAGCTTGGTTTGATGACAACTTATGTGAAGACAACTTGGAGATATACATATATATTTATGTGTGTGTGTTTGTTTGTATGGGCAATCAACTATCATTGTTCCTTTCTATTGGGTTTCTTTCTGTGGGTCTTCTTCTTCAAGCTAATTTCCAATATGGATGGCCTGATACTCACATATATTCATGCTATAAATATGTTCTTCTTTGGATGTGACATCTAGTGTGTGTCTTTTTTTTTTTTTTGGAATTACTGGGAATTTTTTCATGGATTAATGTGGGTTCATTTGCAAGCACTACAAGAGAAAGTCAAGCAACTGGTGTCAGTTGACATGCAAGAGCTCAGACCATACTCTGCACTGAGCTTTGTTGGAATTTTGTCTCTATTCCTTTCCTCTCTTCTACTTTTTCTTACTTCTGCCTCAATCTCAATCTCAGTAATCACTTGGATCTGCTCACTAGTCACTAGAAGGCTTCTCCTAAATAGTCTGACACTATCTCCTGTTATGAAGGTTACCCCCAGCTTGTAGTCAATGAACCCTGTCTGAGGAGGATATTTCTTCTCTCATGTAGTCTTGCTTATCTATTAGGTTATATTCCATTCTTGCTGGTGTGTGATGCCGTACCCAAAAAGGTTTACTCTATTCATTATTTTTTATTCATTTTCTCAACCACATCTTGATCAATCTTGTACATAGTATATTTAAACTGACTAAGTTACAAGAAATGATCACCATTGGTTCTTTCCTTCATTTTTCGACAACCTGAGCCGGTCCAGTGAATAATAAAAAACCTCACTGTTTTTCTTCCTCCCATAAAAAGCCTAAAAACTCACTCCGTGTTGGTCTTAAGTTCAACAAGCTTGAGTTGTACCTTGTTCTGGTCCACTCCTTTGAAGTCTCAGGTTGTACCACCAAATTACATCAGCACAATCACCTGAGCTCGCATTGAGGTGTGATTGGAGCTTGCTGCATGTCAACTGCTGATAGTTGCTTGACTTTTTCTTGCAGTGTTAAGGATCTAGTTGAAAATATACATACACATCTCACATCTCCAGAAAAGATGAGAGGATCAACTCTCGAGTCTTTAAGTAGTTGATTCCACTTTCCATCTCATCCCAACTTTTTTTTTTTGGTCATTTGTTTTTCATCATAAAGATGTTCCTTCCTTCTTTCTTTTGTTTTTTTCAGCTTGCTCTTGCAAGTGTCCAGATATCTTGAGATGAATTGAGAGCATTATGACATGTGCTGAGCCTCAAGCGTTTGCTTGTGAGATTGGTTGGACATCACTCCCCAAGCTTGCATGTCCATCCCAAAGTGCACTTGGTCAAGGCACACAGCTCAGCTTTGGGGGTTGGCAACCAAGTCTCACTTGGCCAATCCCCAAGCCAGTGTGACAATGACATGTGGTCCAAAAAAGGATGTGTCTTACAGGTGGGGAGCTTCACTCTCTCCCCCTTCACCCATGAGGTTGAATCATTCACCTGTCACTGATCAACAAAAAAAATACACAGAATGCTCATCAGGTAGAAAAAACAACTATGAAAAATAAAAGTGAAAAAATAAGAATAGAAAAGGGAACCTTCCACAAAGCTGTAGGTTTTCTGTGCTTGTTGTGGGTGCTCAGAAGGGTTGGTGATGGTGGGGTTTTTTGGCCACAAGCTTTGCTGAGAGCTGCTTGTGGGTTGGCTATATTTGAGCAATGCCTTCTTAACCTTCCTGGAACCCTTCCAAACAAGCCTGCTTTGCACAGGCCCAAGCCCTGGTGGTCAAATGCCAAGCAGGGCTTGGGACAATGCTCAAACATGCTTAATCTACCCTATAATCAGCAGTATGATCTCATATCAGTGAAACTCTCTTTGGTGAGCAATTCTGTCCAAAATAAGGGGGGGGGGTCAAATCTCAGACTGACTCCTGAAATTTGAAATGTCATTTTCCCCTAAACCAATCCACCATCTTGAAGTTAATGATTCTGGAAGGGTGGAGTTTCATGGTATCCATGTTTCTACATTTGATATGGTGGATTTTGTGTCTCAGGAGAAAACAAGTTTTTTAAGGTTTACAATCTTCTTAAATTTGATAGCCCCTGATGTGTCTGAGACTACGACTGAAAACTAAGGTTTGACACAGGCTGTGGACCCCATGCCAAGCAGATTTTGGGGAATACAACAGATTCTCTTTGTCACAAAAAAGGGCCCAATATATCCTGCAGTATTTGAACTGTAGAATGTCATGAGCTGCTCTGATCATCCCTCAAGCCACAGACAAGAAGCTTCTTTGCCATAAGGCATGATAGGTTAAAGCCTTTGGTCTTATGGCATAAAAAAATCAAAGCAGACTCAAACACTGTAAAAAAACATTTCCAGCTCTCCTTGGAATCCTTGGATGCCCTGTAGAGCCCTTGGATACCCCAGGCTCGCAAACCTGGGCATCAGAATCTAACACCAATTCCTGAGCGCTGGGGCATGGCCCCTTGAAGTTGCCCCGGGTGCACAGTTTTAGTTGAAGATTTATTTGATACCAGCCAACATTTGGTACAGTTTCATACCTTGTGCAACTGTAGGGAATTGAGCATGTGAACCAACGTAAACCTGCGTTCCTTCAGTTCTGTTGAAACTATATCCAACTTTTTGTATATATTTATGCCCTATTAACTAAAGAATCTTGGCCGGCTACGCTGCCCAACAACGGCAGAACCTCGTTTGAATTTACATAGGATTCTCAACTTTAAATCTTCTTGCAGCGAAATCGTAGAGTTCAAAAGAAACTTTTGGAATTTATTATACAATTGTCGAAGCTGATCGCAAGTGATTGATTTTTTGCTCACAAAAGTCTCGAGATTTTGCACATGATAAGAACCCACGTTGAGATGATAGCAAGAGACCAAAACTACCTTTGCCTCAGTGCCATCCATTCAGGAGCCACCAACAAATGTTTTGGAACACTCCTTGACTTTTCGACCTGGACCTCCAATTTCGGAACACGTGCCCAAAGTCCTATAGCGCTGCGTGCACATAAACATGCACATATTTGATTTGATCGGGCGATGAACTTGTTTGCCCAATCGTTTATGAATTACGTGTGAGGATTTACTTTGTAATCAGAAATATGTGCGCGTTGATAGCCGAGTTCATTGCCGTTGAACGTCTTGATAAGAAGTTCCGGGGTGATAATTATGATATCTATCGGATATGTGTGTGTAATTTTTAGGGTTCTCTTGAATGTCTGTGTGTCTCACTAGAGGGTCCCTTCATGGTTTTGATCGGAGGCTGCCTAAATAGATATCTTGCAAGAGGATCCCAGTTTATGTTGGTCCATCCAAATAACCATGCGGTCATTCAGTCTGGGCACAGGTATGAATCGATCGAAGGCAGGTTGCTTGACATTGATACATACAGCGGCTGGCGACTGAAACCGATAGATATATTGGTCAATCGAGGTGCCTGGGCTGGCACCGCACCGGATAAAGCTGACACCGCACAGGATAACGAAATAGTTAAGCAAGATTAGCAAGAGGCGTTGAAACTACAATTGAAAATCAGACAATGCACAAGTTGCATTCGATTGTGGAGAAGACTTGATGTACGAAGTTTGCAACTGTGTACACCCCATCCCATCGGCAGACGAACGGCACCGCAAGTCATCGCAGGCGAATGTCTAATGTCCGATCCATCTCCATTGGATCCTTTCCCAGTTTCATCAGAGGTTTATACTCTCATAGATAAACTTATCCGGACTTCTGGCACCTCCACCCTGGTTCAGACATGATGCGTCTCCTAGTTTTGCCCATTGAATCCTTGCCAAAGGTGGGGTAGGGGTTGGCGACACTGCGCTTGCTCTCGACAAGATTTCGGCTCTCTCATTTTGTAGCCATGTCCGTTCAAATTGGTACGACAATTAACTTTGGCCAAATAGGCCTACATAGATACTTTTCTGGCACCTCGAATATTGCACTCGGGTATAAGTACCAGAGACATCTACAATTAATCATACCGCAAGAGATTTTGCTCTCTAACTCCTCTTCATTCAGATCCCTTTTTCATTCTCTCGGGCAACTACTAGACTGGTCTCTGATATTAACCCACCAAGAGCCCATATCTTCTTCAGTCCGCACTCCCTTCTGATCTTTCGGTACCTTCACATTCTTAACCACCCATAGCCCAGGTTCTTTGTAAGCCAGGTTTTCGTAAGTAATTCAAGAAGTTCAGAGAGGCTCACATAACATTTTATTCAAACACTTGATTTCAATATCTGGCCGTCCAAGTAGTGATTAGGCCAACTCTTACCTTCACGGTCTCATAAAAATTACGCCGAACCAAAAGCCTTTCCATCGAGAGGATACAATTCGATCAGTGATCACATTCGTCCAACATGGATACTGATTGGTGCATTGTTTGCGATACGAAGATTTTTCCTCACCACAGGTACATACGTTCTGCTATTTTGAATTACTATTCCGATTCTATTATTATTTTTGGTCTGGTGCGTGGATGCTAACTCAGACGAAAACATCGGACGTATCACCTTTGAACGCGCTATCCCAATGTTTTTTTGATGTCAATCTCCAGTATTTCTTGTGAAAATCACGAGGATGAAGAGGAAAGTGGGGACCAGTCGACACAACCTCCCGTCATAATCCCATTCTCTGCATTTTGTTCGCAAGACTGTTTGATAAAATCTTATGTCGAAGCGGCATCCCAAGTGCAAGCATCCCAAAACCCCAAGAACAAAACTGGTGGACTTAGCGGAACTCACAGTAACGAATCGCTTATGCTTTATCCCGGCCATCTAAAGAAAAATACGAAGTCGAGCGGCGAAGGATCTCTCGCTAAATTCAAGTCTAACTCGAAGTACATTTCCGTCTATCCAGGGAGAAAAAAAGTTGTTAGCGAATTCACTTTGAATAGTTGTGGCTCATCTAGTTCTACAGCATCGTCATCCTCTTCTTCATAGTTAATTTATCCGTCCATACTCCTAGTCTACTCTCAGCTCACTTGACTCCTCTCAAAATAAAACGAACGGCTGCGAAATAAGCATTGGACCCACTTCCTGTACATGATCTCTGTAAAAACATGACTAGTTCTCCTTTGCATTTCATTTTTTTTCTTCTTCTTCTTTTGTTGTTCAACTCTAGCAAACATTATCCTCCTTGATAAAAGTAAACCTCACATATGTAAAAGACAGCCTATTCTTTTCAAAAACTTTTTGTTTACTTATAATTGCAAAAACAAAATCCCTTCTCAATACTTAGAAAGTGTTCCATTCCGTCAAAATGTTGACGTTGAGGATAGAAATATGAAGATGAAATCTGACTCCAAGAGGGTGAAGATGCAAAATATTCTGCAGCCTGAATGTAGCATAAAAAACTAAAATAAAATTGGAAGGAAATGGTTAAGAAGGCTTGCCTACTCAATAATGCTATTCTTGATTGGGTTAAATTCACAATTAATTGGCAGATTGAGTCAATTTTCAAACATGAGCCAAAATAAAAAGTAATTGTTTGGATTGGCCTGATTTTTGAAAGAAAAAAGTATATGAGTTGTGTCTGATGTATAATAAGGCCAGACTCATTAGCAGAATTCAGAAACAGTAAAAAAATGCCCCCCCAATCATGTCTTTTTGTGTCTGATAAGTGAAGACAAATTCTTTTGAAAATAATATCCACTATGTCCAAACAAATGAGTTCCAAAATTTCAGTTTCTTTTTGCTCTGATTACTTTGAAAGCAATTTTGTATGTCTAAGAGATCACTCTTCTCACATTGCGAGTTTGAGTGGAGTTTCCTGAGCTAGCATTTCTACACCACCCAGCTACTCTTCATTCAGGAGTCTGATGTTTTCCTTTATCTCTATCAACAATAGCCTATCCAAATACTTGTACATATATAAGCTCAACATAACTTGATACTGTTGTTTCTCTTTTCCTCATGCTCTTACAAAATTTGATATACTGTTTACTTCCATCTTCAGTCAGTGACTCATTCACATTCAAACTATAGCACTGAAGTATCATGTAATTCTAACCCTTCACCTTGTGCCACAAACTGCCCTCGCTAGAGATTTGGGATTGGCCCTTGTTGCAGAAAGTGGCTTGTTTTAGAGATGTTGAGTTGATGGTTGCATGAGCTGGCAGATTGATAATGAAACAAAGGCATGTGATGGAAAGAGAAAAATGAATATTGGATAATATAAAATCCAACAAATCTGTAGAGCAAAGACAGTTAGAAAAATTTATAACAAAAGACTGAATGGTATTGGTAGTTGAAGTGATACAAAAAGAGAAAATGTGAAGGTATATAAGTAGGGTGTGATTGTCATGATTTTGGGCATGGCTTGGCTGTTGTTTGGAAGCATCACTTGAAGTCGGGGGATTTGAGGAATTAACTCTGTGATATGTTTTGGGTTTTGGTTTTGTGGCTTGCTAAAATTCACAGTCAAAGTCAAACCTGTCCAACCACATACCCGTATAAGGGCATAAACTCCCATACCACATACTCATTTGGCCCACCAAATGTTTTTTGTACCTGTAGCTCATCCTTGGAGCTGCATAAACTGGAAAACCACATAGCAAATTTAGTCAGTATGCAGCTCAAAGGGTTTGTCTGTAAACTGCTAATTAAGCAGTTTTAAGTTTCCCAATAGGATAGCTGATAAGCTGTGTCAGACCACTAGCCTCAAGATGTGACCCCTGCAGATCCTGACCAATCAAGCCTGCTGGCAATGATGAGCAGATATGTTACAAATTGAGGTGATACTGCATGTAACACTATTATGTTACTTGCTCTGCCAGTTTCCAGTAGGGGGTATCATATATAACCAAATCCACCATTATTTAATTGACTGGTTTGAAAAAAACAATCCTTTTCAAACATGTTGGTTATTCATTTAACCCCTTTTGGGGCCCATTAATTCAAAAAAAAAAATACAAAGTGACTGTTTTCTAATGGTGGATGTCCTATATTTGAAACCCCCAATAAGCAATACATGTTTCAAGAAATTGGATAACAAAATATCTATTAGGGGGTATCAAATATGACAAAATCTACCATTATTGAATTGATTGGTTTGGAAAAATCCATAATTTTCTTCAACATGTCAGTCCTGCACCTGCCCTCTTTGGGGACCCATTGATGCAAAATTGGCTGGTTTATAATGGCGGATTTCTTATATTTGATACTTGTGTAGCAGAATTCTGCTTAAAAATCAGTGTAATGTAGTGGAATGCCACCACATCTGTGCTGACACTATGCACACAGGCCCCAAAAAGGGCCCGCTAAGCTGCGCCAACATTCTGGTTAGCGGTTTTTTGGCCCTGTAGTGGCTGTTAGCAGCTCTTAGCACAGCATAGCATAGCACAAATGGGCCAACATTGCACTAACACTACCAGATTTCCCCGCAAAGAAAGTGCCACTACACTAACACTTTTTTGGGAAAAAAGCATAACGTAGCACCTTAGGTTGTGAACTTACTGGTAGTGTAACTTCTTGACTTAACATTATGACAGGGTAAGGGGCCACACCAATGCATTACACACATCTCAGAAAAAAAACACTAATACTACAGTTGCACATGGCATTCTGCTGTACACAGCTGTAGAGATGGTCTTGGGGTACCTGGCACCCGCCGGCGGGTACCCACCTACCCCTGATGGTACCGGCCAAGTTGGTATTGAGTGTGGTACTTGGTGCCTGCTTTTGGGAAAAAAGCAGGCAGTACCCTGGTACCTTTAAGGGTGCCCGCTCCCCACCCCCTCCTTGGTGGCTCAACACAGGTTGCTGGAGAGGACCCCTCCAACCTGATTGGTCTCAACCAGGTTGTGTGGAAGAATCTCCGGCAGCCGGCGGGTACTAGAGATGGCAACGGGTACCCGTTTGCAGGTACGTGGTACCCGTTTGCGGGTACCTGTTCTGCTGAGCGGGTACCCGCCCGCGGGTGCTGGGTGCGGGTGCGGGTGTTGAGTTTTGGGACAAAAAACGGCGGGGTAACCACCTTGACACCCGTCCTGACACCCGCCCTGGGAATGCAGTTTGGGAGTTTTGCGGCTACGTACCAGGGTGTCAGCGGCCCATGTAGGACACACATCTTGTGTATCGCTACATGGGCCTGTTGAGGCCGCGCAGGGAACCCTCTGCCTT